GTTATGATGGAAGGCACCTGTGATCACAGTGCTGGGACAGTGGTAACAGGAGGATCCCTATGGTTTGCTGGCAAGCCAGCCTAGCTGATCCATGAGCTCTAGGGTTAATGAGACACTGTTTCAAAAAATAAGTTGCACACATTAAGACATACACATGAATTCAACCTATGTTGAAGGGCAAAACCAGCAAAACAGAGGTAGAAGAGACCCATCTCTTCTACCCAGTATGAAAACCAAACACCTGGGAATCAGAAAAACAGGTTTTATTCAAGTTACACACCTCTTAACTCACCTGCTGGATTTTTCTTTGACTTTGTAAGCTGTTTAATCAATGTTTAAAAGCACCTGGCCTGTAGTAGGTATTTTATAACAGGAGAGTTGTTTTTCCCATTTGCGACACAGAGTGATAGCACTATAGGTGTAAAGGTACAATTTAAAGAGCTTCACGGGGTTGGAGAGATGGCTCAGAGGTTAAGAGACTGGTTGCTCTTGCAGAGCACCGAGGTTCGGTTCCCAGCATCCACAAGGCAACAATCAGTAACACCAGTTCCATGAGACCCAGTGCCCTCTTCTGGCCTCCTTGGACATTGCATGCATGGGTGCACTTACATACATGCAAATAAAACTCAAAGACATAAAAGTAAGTTTTAAAAAATTTAAAGGGCTTTATCTTACAATGAGATGAGCAAGGTGATGTAGCTCACACCTGTAATCCTAGCACTAGGGAGTTGAATGTGTTGGCACATGCCTTTAATCCCAGCACTCTGGAGGCAGAGGCAGGTGGATCTCTTGTGAGATTGAAGCCAGTCTGGTCTCAGGGGAGCTGTGACAGGGAGACCCTGTCTCAAAAAGACCAGAAATAAAATAAAATCCTAGCATTGGGGAGGTTAAGGCAGGCATATCACAAGTCTGAGGCTAACCTGGGCTGGCCCTAGCCTGGGTTGTAATGCAAGATCCCGTTTCAAATAAAACACCACATGGGTTGGAGAGATGGCTCAGCGGTTAAGAACACTGGCTGTTCTTACAGAAGACCAGGTTGGAATCTAGCACCCACATGGCAGCTAACAACCGTCTGTAACTCCAGTTCCAGGGGATCTGACAGCCCCTTCTGTCCTCCACCGGCAGTGCACAACAAGGGTGCACTTACCTACGTGCAGGTAATACATACATACACATAAAATAAAAATAATAAAAACAGTTAAAAAATAAATGAAACACCACACAACAAAATGCTACGGCAGACAAACTCTAAGATGCCTCCCCATGAGCTACCTAGTCCCTGGTGTTCATTCCACATATAATCAATCTCCTCACCCCTCAGATGTGGACAGAAACTGCAGATTCCATCTTGGCAGGAGACTGGCTATGGACACTTGAAATAAGTGTCCACGTACAGAGCCTCCACCAGGCAGCACTGAGAGTACATGCAGCCCCAAACAAGCAAAGTCTGGGCACTGGTCCTGCAGCTACAGAGAAAGGAATTCTGCCACCACCCAAGTGAGAATGCATCCTAGCAGCACCATGGGCAAAGGTCCCTGCTAAAATGGACAGTTTCAGTTTCTGTGGTGCTGGAGATTAAACCAGGGCCTAGTCCATGCTACCTGAGCCCTCTGTCATGTGCCTGTTCTCAGCCCCAAGGAAATTTAGTCCAGGCTGATGTGCAGGCTACGAAGCAGAGAATAACCCTGAACTTCTGTGCTCCTGTCTCCAATCCTGTGTGGATGGAACCCAGGGCTTTCTACATGCTAGGCAAACACTCTACCAACTGAGCCACATCTCCAACCCCAGTAAATTGTAAGTTTAAGTTGATGTCATAAGACATCAACTTTTTTGGGGGGTGGGGTCTTTTTGAGACAGGGTCCCTTTGTAGCCCCAGCGGGCTCCTTTTGTCAGAACTCGTTTTGCAGACCAGGCTGGCCTTGAACTCACAGAGATCCGCCTGCCTCTCTCTGCTAGGATGAAAGCTGTGCGCCACCACACCCAGCTACAAGACATCAACTCTTATTACAAGACATCAAGCACTCTGGACTATTCAAAACAAATTCAAACATGAACAATCCAGAGGATTCTGCGATAAAACATTCTGTCTAGGGATTCTTCCTTGGCCGCATAGAACACGTTTTGTTTTTCTGGTTCTTTGAGAAAGGGTCTCACTGTGTAGACCAGATTGGTCCCCAACTCTGAGAGATCCACCAGTCTCTGCCTCGTGGGTGCTAGGACTAAAGGTGTGTACCTGTGTTTGTATGGTGTGTTCTAAATGTGACACAGCCTACATATGGAACACAGAGGATTATTTGTAGGAATCAGTTCTCTCCTTCCACTTTGTGGGTTCTAGGTATTTAACTCAAACCATGAGGCTTGATGGCAAGCACCCTTACAGACTAAGCCATCTTGCTGGTCCTGCATAGTTATTTTGAGGCCAGCCTGGGATCTATGAGAGCCTACACGTATAATTAATTCAGTAAAGTCATTTTACTCAAATGGCTAGTTAGGGGCAAAGCTAGGAAATCAATAGGTCTGATTCCTCTACCTTTTGGTTTCTCTGAGTTGCAGTGATGCCCCCTCTGCTCAGAGATAATGAAACCTTGTCAGAAACATCAAAACACTGGGAACATTTTGTTCTTCAAAAACCACCTTACACAAGTTAATTATTGTACATGTCAGTTAAAATACCCTTTTAAATTTTTTTTTAAACCCTTCATTTCTCAATAAAGATTTGCTTTCTCCCTCATAGCTCCTTATATGTTATAAGGGCTTACATTGTATTGGTAAAAAATATTCTTACCAGAGACCCTTAAAAGAAGGCCACAAACAGCTCCTTTTATTTTCTAATAAGACTAAATTTATTCAATACCCTAGTAAAAGTTTTGATTATAAGTATCCAACAGTATAAAAAGTACAAAACAGATCTGTAGATTTCTAATATATTAATACAAAGTGCATGACTACATACAGTACATCCTACAGGCAGAGAGTGGAGGGAAGAAGACTGTGGTTGAGGTCTAGTAATAAATAAATAAATACAGAAAGAGATGATCCATCAGTATATTCTACCACCAATACTGCAGCCAAAATGTACAAAAACCATGACAAAGTAACTCGGGGATGGTAATGGCTGGACTCTGAACTACAGAGGTGTGAAGAGCTGCCCGGCTCGCTGGGCAGTCTGCGCATGGTGGCTTGTACTAGGTAGGTTTGTTCCCACAGGAAGAACTACACAATGTAGAACTATAAAACGACGGGCGCCCATAAAAAGTGGCTCACTCACTCCTTTATTGTGACATACTATCTGACTTTAAAAATCCAGTTTTTAAAATAAGCACGAGTCAAGGAACCCTAAGGCAGGCACGTGCCCCTCCCTCAATGAGAAGTCTGAAGTGGCGCTTTATTTTTCCTGAACTTTTAGAAAGAGGCAACAGAGAGTCTTGGCTAGGTTGGCTGGGTTCAACTGAGGAGCCCACAGTGAGATCTGCTGTGAGGAGCTCCTTACTCAGCTCATGATGCCCAGAAGTCCAACTCCAAGCCAAATCCAACCAACCACCTTAGCCTTAACACACCTGTTCTAGTGAACTTTAAATAGTGGAAGAAAAAAAAACAAAAAACAAAAAAAGAGATGATCTATCAGTATATTCTACCACCAATACTGCAGCCAAAATGTCCAAAAAAAATGACAAAGTAACTCCGGGGGATGGTAATGGCTGGACTCTGAACTACACAGAGGTGTGAAGAGCTGCCTGGCTCGCTGGGCAGTCTGCACATGGTGGCTTGTACTAGGTAAGTTTGTTCCCAAAGGAAGAAATACAGAATGTAGAATTATAAGATGATAGGCGCCCATAAAAAGTGGCTCACTCCTTTATTGTGATATACTATCTGACTTTAAAAATCCAGTTTTTAAAATAAGCACGAGTCAAGGAATCCTAAGGCAGGCACGTGCCCCTCCCTCAATGAGAAGTCTGAAGTGGCGCTTTATTTTTCCTAAACTTTTAGAAAGAAGCAACAGAGAGTCTTGACTAGGTTGGCTGGGTTCAACTGTGGAGCCCACAGTGAGATCTGTTGTGAGGAGCTCCTTACTCAGCTCACAATGCCCAGAAGTCCAACTCCAAGGCAAATCCAACCAACCACCTTAGCCTTAACACACCTCTTCTAGTGAACTTTAAATAGTGGAAGAAGGAAAAAAACAAAAAAGAAAAACAAAACCCCAAAACCCTAAAAAGGTTATAACAAACAGCTACTCTACAGATAAAACCTCCACAAAGGTCAACTGAGGTAATCCAGAGCTAAAACTGAATTGTATGGATTTCAATGAATCCCAGTCAACACCAATGTCAATTATTTATACACCGCAAGTCCTCTAAGAAGTGTGCCCCAAGAGTATCAACTGCATTCCATACCGCCCTGAGGACCTGCATGTTTGTTTAGCTAGTTTAACGTTTCTAAGCGTGTGCTCTCTACAATGTGCTGATGCTTTGGTACTATGCGGATAGGACCTCGTCTACCCTACAGGCTTGCCTTTCCCCAGCTCTAGTTCTGCTTTAGTTCTCACATAAATCTTACCAACACTAGGACGAAGGTAGGCCATGCAAGAAGCTACCTGTGTGTTTAGACATTGCTTCCTCCCTCAAGCTATTTGCAGAAAGCTCACCTGTCCTGCTAAATAATCAGTAGTATAGGCCTGAGTCCTGGCAGGACCTTAGTATTTCAGAATAGCTACCTCTAGGGGAAGACCATGCTACTGAGCTGTGACAAATTATTGAGCGAAAACATGTAGCCAGCCATCTTAAAAACCGCCCCAACCACTGCCTCTCCATATAGAAAGACTACAACTACACACGGTTTATCATACAAATCCCATCTCTGTCCCCTGAAATTCCCCTAATTTCATTCATTAGAAGGGGATGAAAAAGAAAAGACTTAAAAGAGCACTTTACAGCAGCATTCAGCTTTCCTATGAAATACTCAGCATCTTAAATATTATGTACACTTCTTTTTTTCTTGCAGTAAGCTAGACACTGGCTTCAGTTTGCTGGACTGGGAAAGAAAATAACCCATAAAAACTATTCTAGAAAATGTCTTTTGGCAGAATAGCAGGTATCCAAGTCAAAAACAGGAGGGTCAGTTTGTTGCTTTATGGCCTTTTAAAAATGTAAGCCACTTTTTGCTCCCTTCTACATGACCCCAGTCACCATTCCTGCGTGGAGATCGGCAGAGGCGCTGGCCCCTGCTCCGCGGGCTTCTCAGCAGCTGCCTTCTTACTGCTGCAGCACGGCTTGAAGAGATGTGTGTCGATGAGGACTTCCCCAAAACGGCCCTTGTAGATGATCCCACAGCATATCTTCTGTCTAGAAGAAGAATATGGAGAACAAAACACATTACAAAACAGAAACGGCAGAACACCAAGAAAAGCCACTGGCCGTCACCCGCATGACCCCGAGATCCAAAGGTTCTGCTTCCACCTTATCACCTCTCCTCGAGTGAGGTGCTTACCCAGCGATCCCACTCAACGAAGGAATGAGAATTACCCGGGTCCTTTTAAAGCTACGCTGCAACTTTCTCAAATATTGAAGAAAAGAGCATTTTGAGAAGCAGCAGTTTAAGGGCTACTCCTAAAGCTGTTAACTATTTCCTCCAGAAACAGTCTGGTTAAACAAGATGTTGTCAGTAGCTTTAATTAAATGTCAGACAAAGAAAGCACCAAGGCATTAAAACTGACAGCACAAGAACATTCACAGATCACATGCAATCGAGGCAAACCACTCCCAAACTATCACCTGGACTGCTCTCAGCCAAGCCATGAATTTCAGACCCCTCTACCTCCACCTCACAGGCATGTATCACCATACCTGGCTCCCTCTTCCTTTATATATCAGTTTTATTACATGCTTAGAGCTCTTAACATACTGCTGAATTACCCATCAATGAAAACACAAATATAGGATGACAATGTTTTCTGCAACTTCTTACTCAGCATTGCATTATTATTACACAGCTGTTAACACTTCATTTTAACATACGCATACTAGTCTAATATGTACAAGAATCTCTATCCACCATTTTGGAGCTGTGGGGTCCACACTAGCCTCAAGCTCCCTATAGAGCCGAGGATGTCCTTGAACTGATTCTCCTGCCTCTACCTCTCAAGTGAGATTAGAGACGCGTGTTATCTATCCTATCCTGCTACCCATTCTTTTGAATTATGATTTGTGTGTGAGAGAGACAGACAGAGACAAGTGACAGAGAGAACATCGGTGTGGACATCTGTAGGTCAGAGGACAACTTGTGGGAGTCAAGTTCTCTCCTCCTGCCCAGGGTCTTGGGAATCAAACTCAGATTGGTCCTTAGGCCTTGTCCACCCTTTTGAACAGACGGGTTTGAATGGACAGTTTTTGCTATTATAACTGCTCCTATACACATCAATTCCTAAAGGCCTAAGTTAAGTTTCTAGGATAGAGAAATGGGAAGACCTCAAACTTTACTTTAAAATAACAATTAGCAACATGGCTCTAGTCGTCTGTCCCAATAAAGAGCATCTTGATGCTTCATAATCTGCACTCATGCTTTTCCTTGTTCCATTTCTCCACCCATCTAAAGGTAGTATTTCCTGTTGGTTTATCTTTCACTTCTTTTACAGCTCTATGAATCCCAGATGAATCCCTAGTCAGGTATGTGGTACATCTTTGGTACATCTTATTTCATTCTTACACTATCATATAATTTCACAGTTAAATTCCTAATACAATCAAACAGCATGGTTTTCTTTTATGCTTAGTACTTTAAAAAGAATTTTATTTATTGTTTTTATTTTATGTGTATACGTGTATTGCCTGCATGTGTGTGAGTGCACTCATGTCCTGCAATGCCAGTGGAAGTCAGAAGAAGGCTTCGGATTCCCCCGGAACTGGAGTTAAGGACGGTTCGCAGCCGCCATGTGGGTGCTGGGAATCCAATCTGGGTCCTCTGCAAAGAGCAGTCAGTGCTCTTAACCACTGAGCCACCTCTCCAGCCCCTGTGCTTAGTACTTTTTATAAGAAACACAATGCTAAGCCAGGCATGGTGGCGCATACCTTTAATCCTAGCACTCAGGAGGCAGAGACAGGCAGATCTCACAAGACCAGCCTGTTCTACACAGAAGTTCCAGGCCAACTGGGGCAATAAGGAGACCCTGTCTCAAAAAAACAGGAAAAGACAAAACCAAAAACATAGGTTCCTACTCAAAAGTCATTGCTTTCTACCAATATGTCTACAACTTACTCTGGTATATGGTATAAGTAGGGATTCAAGACAACTGTCCACATACATGCCATGTTGTTTACAGTACTCCTAGAAGCATCCATGAATAATCCCTCCCCCCACTGACCCACACCTACTTCATGCACCACATTAACAGGTTTCCATACATAAACTGCGAGCTTGACTTCAGACTCCAGAATGCTATCTTCAAAGCACATTACATAAACTATGCCTTGGTAACATGTCATGACATCATAGGATAAGCATATCAACTTCCTTTTCTTCAGCTTTACTCTCCTAAGTAAGATTTAACTTAAGTTGTCAAGTTCTACAAGAATTCTGTAATTCTGACCATAATTACCCTGAATCTATAAAATAATCTTCATAATATTTAGCTTTACTACATCAAGATTGTGATATACTTCTGCTTAGTCCCTGCTAACCCACTTCCCCCATGTGTCACAGCCATTAGCCAGCACTGCTGACGGTGCGGCTGACTAGGCAAGATGTCTGTGGCCTTACCTTTTCCAGTACGTAAGATCTAAAAAGGAAAAGACTGGAGTTCTGTTGGAGCTGGAAGCCACCTCTGTGTCTGAGCCATCATCTGACTGGTTACTATAACATGGAGATTGGGCTGGAGAGGCACTTGAGGTGGTACTGTGAGCATCAGAATCTGCAATAAAAACATAAGTTTTTAGTTTCATCACCTGCAACTTTGAGTGCTGTTCTAGGTCTCACATGGGGCCACAGCCCAGAGGAACCCAGCAAAAGCACATGTTCAGTTGAAAACATACTTGGCACCTCTAACCCACCAAACCACAGAGCTCAGCACACAGAGGAGCTCATCTGCAGGCCTGACTGATACCACAGCTGACGGGGGCCTGCAGCACCACCATTTCATTAGAAAGTCAGACATGCATCTGGCAGGGGAAGAGACTGAAATGTGAAGTATCATTTCTACTGCTGCGCAGTGTTTGTACCACCACAAAGTCAAAGAACTGCAAGTCAGGGCATGACATGAAGACGTCACAAATGAATTGGTTAATAAGTTTTTTTTTTCTTTTTTTTGAGACAGGGTTTCCCTGTAGCTTCAGCTGGCCTGGAGCTCGTTATGTAGAACAGGCTGGCCTTGAACTCAGAGAGATCGTCTGCCTCTACCTCCTGAGTGATGGGATTAAAAGCGTGCACCACCATACCCAGCATAAAAGTATTTTTATACCACTAATATTTGATACTTGAGCATCTCTGAATGAAAAGGAGCATTACTGCTTTCAACAAGACAGAATAGACACATGTCCCCTCCTATTCCTCGTACTTATAAAACTAGAAACCCTGGGCATGACATATAAAACCAGTTTAAAACACGATCACCTAGGGAGCTCCAGACCCAGCGAAGGAGGACACAGTGGCAGTGCCTGTTTTCTTTGGTTGTTTCGAGAAAGGTCTTAACTATGTAGCCTTAGCTGGTCTGGAACTTATGGCTATGGAATCTTCCAGCCTAAACCTCCGGAGAGCTGGGCTTTCGAGGTACATGTTACCACTCCCAGATATAACCAAGTTTTTGCCTCATAAATCCCAACCTTGACACTAAAGCAGCAAGAACCCAGAAATACCAATGGGTACAGGTGATGGGTGGGGTGGGGTGGGGTGTGTGAGACAGTGAGATGGCTCAGCAGTTAAGGGCACTGACTGCTCTTGCATAGGGCCCGGATTCAATTCCCATCACCCACTAACAACCGTTCATAACTCCAGTCCCAGCAGATCCAACACTTCTGACTGCCACAGGCCCTGCACGACACGGGTGCATTTACATGCATGCAGGCAACATTCATACATACATACATACATACATACATACATACACACACACACTGCTCATACATATATACATTCATACATACAAAAAATACTATAAAATAAACATTTTTTTAAAAAACGCACTTGTCACTCATCTGATGACCGGAGTTAAATTCCCAAAATCTACATGGTAGGAGAGCACTGACTCCCTTGGGCTGTCCTCTGACCCTCACAAGCCCATACACACAAAATGCATCCGTGTTGAGACAGACAACAAAGGGCTGCTTTTGTTAATCAAAGAACTAGAACAAGCACAGCCTCATGGAACATTTAAATTTCAGGTAGTAACCACTGTGTTGCAGCTCTGCACTGGAGACACTGTGACCACCACTCTCCACTTAGTACTCTGAACCAGGGTGCTGTCACAGCAAGCCTAGTTAAGAGCTAGGACTTTTATGACCCACAGAACAAGGCCACCCCTCATCACATAGGTGCCTAACTCCAACACTAAGCACCAAGGAAAACTGAGCCACATTCTGGATATGGATCAAGAGAGAGCCTGTCTTCTAACAACACATCAGTAAGAAGGTGATGGCACCTTCTTCCTTCCTTGCAGTTTAAACAAGCTTAAGTGCAGGGGAGTAGCTCTGTTGGTAGACTGGTTGCGTCCCATGAAGCCCTGGGTTCAATCCCCAGCTTTGGGGAGGATGAACGAGGATCAGAAAGTAGAGGTCATCCTGGCTACATAGCAAGGCCAGCCTAGAGTATGAGACACAATCTCAAAAAAAAAAAAAAGGTTCAAACCACGTGGTTTGTGCTTCCCACTTCCCATCTGTGACCACATGTGCTTTCCAGCTACAGTCCTAGCACTGGAGGCAGAGGCAGGATGATTGCTACCAAGGTCTAGGTCAGCCTGTGCCAATGGGGACCACATCTCAAAGCAAAACATCACCACATCACCACACACACAAACAGCAAAAACCCAGATGAGATTAGTTTAGATTACAATGTATCTAAAAATGTCCATATTTCAATTAAAAAAAGAAAAATCACAGTAAAAACCAAGAAGAACTCTCCAATTGAAGCAGATGGTAAACACAGCCCATTAAAATCACTGACAAAGGTTTTGAAACAACCTACCAAAGGAACAGAGCAACGAGAAACATTTGCAACTCCAGCAAATAGGAAGCTTTTGCTCGGGGGGTGAAGTTTTTTGTTTTTTTTAATATTTTATTATTTTTATTTTATGTGTATAAGTGTATTGTCTACATGTGTATAAGTGCACCCGTGTCTTGCACTGCTCATGGAGGTCAGAAGGCGGCACCAGATCTCCTGAACTAGAGTTACAGATGGCTGTTAGCCACCATGTGGGTGCAGAAATTCGAACCTGGGTCCTCTGAAAGAGCAGTCAGTGCTCTTAACTGCTGAGCCATCTCATCTCTCCAGACCCGGGGTGAGGATTTTTTCAAAAATGAAAAATTTCTCTCAGGTGTGACAGTGCACACCTATAGCCCCAACATTCGGGAGGCAGAAGCAGGCCAGCCTGGGCTACAGGGTGACCCTGTCTCAGTAAGACAAAAAAAAAAAAAACCTGAACATAAATGACACAGGAAGTTTAGTGAAGGATCTCAACAGCAGAGCAGTCACCTAGAAGAAAGAACCACCATCACCCAACCGAGTAACAGAAAGCAGGGAGCTGAGACAGAGAGGAAAGAGCATGTCCAGACCACAGTGCTCCTGGAGGGAGCCGGAGGAAAAAAATCAAGACACTGGCTGGCTGCATCAGATCTGGTCAGACATAAACTTGTTTCAAGGAGCTGAGAAAAAAAAGCTAGAAAAGGCTTCTATTCCTAACATAAGATAGCCCGGTCAACCATAATAAAAATTTTGCCTTGCTAAACCAAAAAAAAAAAAAAAAAAGCTAGAGAAAAGCCACCAGAAGAAATCCAAAGAAACCTATACCAAGCCATGACAGAATTAAACTTCAAAAAACTAAGCAAACAAAAAACCCCTAGTTTCAGCCAACAAGAAATGTCTTCTCTATAAAGGAAAATTAATAATAAAGGCAATTTACTAGCTCAGAATTAAACCAGCATTTTTGCCCATCTTCGTATTAAAATCAGAAAATAAAATCTTTTGGTTGATGGTCACTGAGATGCACTACTGCTGTGATCACAGCCAATGGCCACCTTGTAAATGCAGGAGCTTATCACGCAGCTCTCTTTCATCAACGGCTACCTGACTCGTCCAGGACAAGTGGATACAACGGTCTTCTAACTCTGAAACAAATAATCACGCGGTATTTATTACACATCAAAGCTTGGGGCTGGAGAGATGCCTGAGGGTTTAAGAGCATATACTCTTCTTCCAGGACCAGCAATTTCCAGTAACCATGTCACGTAGAGCTCACAGATGCCTTTAACTACAGCTCCTGGGGGATCCTACAGTTTCGTTTCTCAAAGGAACGGGCGAGCACACGCACACACGTGCACACACACACACAAAATTAAAAGTAAAAATACCTTGAAACTGCCAGGCATGGTGGTGCACACGCCTTTAATCCCAGCACTCGGGAGGCAGAGGCAGACAGGTCTCTGTGAGTTCAAGGCCACCCTGGTCTACATAGTGAGTTCCAGGACAGCTGGGGCTATAGGGAGACCCTGTCTCAAAAGACCAAAAAAAAAAATTAAACATCTAAAAAACATTAAAGTACCACTGGTGTTGTTAATATGCTAATGCACTTTCAATAAATAGCATTCAACTTCTAAAAACAAAATCCTCAAGAATATTTTTGAAGAAGTCTAGTGGAGTATTTCTTTAGAACTTCTCAAATAACATCAGCAGGCTGTCCCATGATGCTGCGGTAGCCTCATCATCCAAAGTGCTTAATGACTTTTGAACCATTTGAAATTTCATATATCAACTACATATAAAAGCAGCAGTTTCCCATGATTTAATCTAATTCTTTTGGACATTGGGATATGTAACAAATAGCCACATACATACAGTGAAGAACTCTTCTAGAATGGGTATCTGACAATTTTTCAAAGAATTGAAGCTGTGAGTCGTAGGGATCACAAGAGCACAAGGCAGATGGACAACATGCCAAGCTACAGGCTTCTAATCAGACCTCCAGAAATTCCTGGGGTTCTTCACAAACTACTGTATAGCAACCCAAATTCAATACATATTTAACATTAGTTCAATGTGGAGGCACATGCCTTTAATCTCAACACTTGGGTTCTGGGCCAGTGAGTACTACAAACTAAGCCCCCTCCCCACCCCAAATCTAACACTGATGTAAGAATTTGATGTGCTTGAGGGCAGTAGTGGTGGATGGATATGATCAATATACACTATGAATGAATGAAATTTTCAAAGAATAATAAAAGTATTTTTTAAATTTTATTTATTTTTATTTCATGTGTATGAGTGTTACGTCTGCATGTAGGTAAGTGCACCCATGTCGTGCAATGCCCATGGAGGACAGTAAAGGCCATTGGATCCCCTGGAACTGGAGTTAAGGACAGTTGTTAGCTGCCATGTGGGTGCTGGGATTCAAACCCGGGTCTTCTGCAAGAACAGTTAGTGTTCTTAACTGCTGAGCCATCTCTCCAGCCCCTAAAAGTATTTTTTAAACAAAGAACATGTTAGAGCACATGCGTATCATGCTTGAGGCCTTGGGCTCTACCCCCAGCCCCCAAAACACAACAAAAAAAGAAAATTGTTTTTTTATAAAACCCTCTTTTACACAAGTATTCCCATTTCTTTGACTGGGAAATTGTTAAATTTGCAGTTACTTCAAAGCCACAACAACATTTGTTAGTGACAAGAACTGTACTTCACCCACATCTTTAAGCTCTATACAGTGTTTCAAGAGGACACAAGAACATGGACACAAACACTTCAGGAGGAGAAAGACATTTGTTAATGTGTAGAGAAATTCAAATGTTTAAAGGTCTTATGACACACAGGCGTCAGCAATCCACAAGATACCTAAACCACCAAAATTCGTACATCTTATCAAAAGAACTTTCAGCACCAAACCAGTACCCAGAACAGCTCTACTATGAAATGCCACAGGAACACTAGAATCTTCCCCTAAGGCAAACAAAAGTTACACATAACTTTCCCTATGGTTAAGGGAAAAGCTAAGAAAATACTTATGCCAGCATGATGGTGCAAGCATGTAATCCCAGCATTTGGGAGGCAGAGGGAGGTGGATCTCCATGAGTTCAAGGCCAGCCTGGTCTACATAGTGAGTCATAGTGAGTTCAGGCCAGCTGGGGCTACAGGAAGACCCAGTTTCAAAAAGACCAAAAAAACAAAACAAAACCTTATTAACAATCAATTCCTCCCTTTAAGTATTACTATTTTCCCAAAGATCATTAAAGTATCTAGTGAGAATTCAGGGTAGAGTTAAATCCTTTGAGGGGTAGAGTGTAAAAGGAACATGTGGGCCAACTAAATGGCTCAGCAGGTCACCTGGCTACCAGAGCCTTGGAACCCACATGAACGTAGAGAGAACTGACTCCCTCAGGTTGTCCTCTGGCCTCCATGTGCATGCCACTGCAGGCACACATGCATGTGTACACACACTGACATTCTTACAATCTATCACTCATATAACACATACACCTTTAAACCGTAAAGCCCCGATGTCACTCTATTCCATGTGAATTGAGAATTCCAAAGTTACTTTCAGGAAATTTGGGTTTTGGCTGTACACTGTGTTAAATAATTTGCCTACTCTGCTGCACATCTCCAGGAGTCAAGTTCCTCCTACATAACACCAAGCAAACAAGCCAAAACAATGCCTATTGTAGAAAATAAAATGTCAATAAAATCATAGTGTCAGTGCAATGAAGTAGCTACCTACTTGAAGTACTGTGTATGTGTATGTTTATGTGTTCACATGATATGTGTGTTTCTACAAGGGTGTAAGTGCTCATGTGTGCGTAGGCCAAAAGCTGACATCAGATGTCTTGTCATTATTTACTGAGGCAGGGTCTCTCTGAACCTGGTGCTCACTGCTGATTTCACCAGGCTAGCTAACTAGCCTGCCCCAGGGATCTCCAGTCTGTCTCATGACTGTTCTTATTACAGGAAGGCATGTCCACCCAACCTAATTCTTTTTTCTTTTTTTTTGAGACAGGGTCTGCCCCCATAGCCCAGCTAGCCTAGAACTACCTATGTAGCCTAGGCTGATCTCATAGAGAGCTGCCTGCCTATGCTGGGATTAAAGGTATGCACCACCATGCCCCGCTCCCTTTAAAGATATAAAATTAGCTATGCGTCGGCCAGGCATAGTGGTGCAGGCATTTAACCCCAGAACTCCAGAGGCAGGAGCAGGAGGATCTCTGTGAGTTCAAAGCCAGCGTGGTCTACATAGCAAGTTCCAGGCCAGCTGAGGTTACAGAGAGACCGTCTCTCAAAAAGACAAACAAACAAACATACAGACAGACAGATAGATAGATATAGATATATACATATATATATATCTCCCCCTCTAGGACGTCAAAGAAATAAAATATTTACCAAGTCAATAATGCTGTACAAAGGCTAAGACTACAAAATCAGGACGCGCTACTTCAGTACTAGAGTTCCCGCCTACCCCACTGATCGCCAGCATCACCCATCCCTACTCCAAAAAAAAGCAGTAAGAAAAATGATCTACCCATGCTTATACACCACCCCCAAGCCAAAAATAAACACCGAAGCATTCATTACTCTCAGTACTAATGTTCAGCATCAAACTCACTGTGGCGTTTAAATTCCTTCTGCAGTTTACTGATCTGGTTGCTTTTCATCCTGTTTCCAGACAGTGTTTTCACTTTCTTTGGTTTCAATGCTGTCTTTAGACTGGGTCCTGCCCTTGCATCTACCACCTGGAAGAAAATACTGCCAATACTTAACATCATTTAGACTCGTGTTTACTTGTTTGAAGGTTCAAGTGTACCTGCAAGCATTACATGACATAAAAGAATAAGCACTATTTATCCACTCATTAAAGAAAAATCCTTTGAATTAAGAGAAGGGGTTCAGCCAGACGTGGTGGTGCAGGCCTGTAATCCAAGCACTCAGGAGGCAGAGGCAAGCGGATCTCTCTGAGTTCGAGGTCACCCTGGTCTACAAAGTGAGTTCCAGGCCAGCTGGGGCTATAAAAGAATAGGGGTCCACTGGGGAATAAAATTAAACAGACTTATGTATGGGATAATCATGGCTAAAATGAGAAAAAAATCAAAGCCTAACAACTAACATTTCTACATGATCAGGCTTTGTAATTTACAAAAAGCTTTAACTTTCTGTTAAAGCTTTATGTTTGATTTGCCACAAAGCAGCAACCAGGAAGGCGATTTGTTATTCGAATCTTATACTGAAGAAAAATCAAGGTGAAGAGAAATCATGTACCTTGACTTATTTCACTGAGCTATTAAGCAGATAAAGTGTGTAGGAAATCAGTCTTTGGATCATTCTTCATAGCAATCCTTGAACATACACAATCTCAGCAGTAGCTCCTCTCTTTTCTAGCCTGAGGGTAGTCTAGCCCTACATGGTTCTATTTCTTAAGGTTTCAATGTAAAAACACTGTCACTGCCTTTAAAAAAAAAAAAAAGAAAAAACCCAAAACACAATTTTGATCTTCTCCACTAAGTATTAAAGAAAACTTTATTTAATAAGGTAACAGGTCTACAGAAACTTACTATAATAACATTGCCATCAAAGGAGAGTGTAGGGTACTATAGAGAAAAGATAAAATTTCGTATCTTGGCCAGATGTGGTGGCTCACGCTTGTATTCTCAGCAACTGGGAGGCAGAGGAAGGAGGATCAGAAGTTCAAGGTTGGAGTTAGAGATGGCTCAGCAGTTAAGCACATTAGCTGTTGTTGCAGAGGACCTGGGTTCAGTTCTCAGCATCCACAAACAGCTAACAACTGTCTATAACTCCAGTTCTAAGGGGTCTAACTCCCTCGTCTGGGCATTGCATGTATGGGTGCACTTACATACATGCAAGCAAAACAGTCGTATCTATAAAATGAAAATAAATCAAAAAAATTAATAAAAAATATTTTAAGAGCAAAAAAAAATAGAACAATTTAGAAAGCTAGCTAGCATATATGAAAGAATTTTAACAACTCTGGGCTGGCAGAGCTTTAGTCTAGCACATACCAGATCACAGGTTCAATCCCCAGCCCAAAAAAAGCATTATCTGTCATTGATATTTATTCTGTGCCAGGCGTAGTGGCCGGCGTATCTCTCTGAGTTCAAAGCCAGCCTGGTCTACTACATAGTGAGTTCCAGGCCAGCTGGGGCTACAGGGAGACCCTGTCTCAAAAAGACCAAATAAAAAATATATATATATTTATATATTTGTTTAAAATATATATATAATGAAGGTCCTGGAGAGACAGTTCAGCGGGTAAGAGCACATACTGCTCTTGCAGAGGGCCTAAGTTCCCAGCACCCACATAAAGCAGCTTACAACTGTTTATAACTCCAGCTCCAAGGAAGCCGACATCCTCTTCTGGCTTCCACAGCACCTGCACACACATGGCATACACACAGACACATAAATAAATCTAAAGTGTGTGTGTGTATGCACATGCACACACACACACACACACACACACACACACACACACACACAAATGAAAATTCCAGTGACATGAAAAAGAAAGCAAAAAGCTAATCGAACATTTACAACACCGCTCTGGTCGCAACAGAACTAAAAATAGTGGGGTGTGATGGTGCATGCTTTTAATCCCAACACTCAGAAGGCAGAGGCAAGTAGGTCTCTGTGTGACAGAGAAGCCCATGCACGTATTTTTACTTTATATACACAGGAACAGATCTCAATTCAGATCTCACAGTAGCTCTATGGACAGCTATTAGCTTTGTAACCTGCCGAAGTCTACAACTAGCAACTGGTAAACACAAGACTAAACCAAATCTATGTGCTCATTTACTTCCACTTGAGTTCAAAGCAACATGTCATTCTAGATCGAGCCTTAAGAGCTTCTGAATGTGCACTGCAATTCTGCAGCAAGAGCACTGGAAACAGCCTTAGCAAGTGTCCCAGAGGCACTATCCAAACAAGGCAAAGGGGAGTGATCATGTCTGAGCACAGCTAGTGTTTTTATTTGTTCTTTTAGCCTTTTCCATGGTAGCGACATGAGATTTCCTAAGTTAGGGGAAAATTAATATTACTTTAGTCAAGAAGAAAAAAACGATGACTTACATGATTCCAGTTTTTTTTTGATCCTGCTGGCAACTTCTTCCATCTTTTCACAAGGAGCACACAGGCATTGCAGATGTCTCCTGAGCGGGTCTCGTGCAACCTGACAGGAAAACAAAGCATTATCACGCTACACTCCTCACAGTGTACAGTCCTCACAATTCTCCTGAGGAAAAATACATCAATTTATGGTTCATACACATAATTTCTAACTATCCTACATGATCTATTCCATTGTTTCTCTAACATATTTCGGAAATATAATTAGTATAGACTCAATGAACCAAATCTCTATACTGTATCTTAGTAGTTTAAGTTAAAGAATAAGCCAGCAGTCATGACAAAGGCAGACTGGTCTACATAGCAAGTTCCAAGACAGCCAAAGCTACACAGTGAGACCCTGCCTCAAAATAAATAAATACAAGCACTATTAAAATAAATTAGCCAGCTGAGGATGTAGTTCAGTTGGAAGCGTACTTGACTAGTGTGTGAAGTTGTTCTGGAGAACACGCACAACCCGAGCACTCAGGAGGTGAAGTGAATGATGAGAATTTCAGTCTCGCTGTCAACTACACAAAAGTTTTTAAATTAGAAATTAAGCTGGTGGGCTGGAGATGGCTCAGTGGTTAAGAACACTGGTTGTTCTTGCAGAAGACCCGGGTTCAAATCCCAGCACCCACATGGCAGCTAACAACTGTCCATAACTCCAGTTCCAGGGGACCTGACAGCCTTTTCTGACCTCCACTGGCATCACATGACACGGGTGCACTTTACCTACATGCAGGCAGTACATGCATACACATAAAAATAATAAATAAAATAAAAGTGTATGTTGTATGTGTGTATGATGGGGTGGGGCAGGTGTGCATGTGTCATGGAACATGTGTGGCGATCAGAGGACAGCTTTCAGGAGTCTGTTTTGTCCACCATGGGTGTTGAGGAGGTTGAACTCAGGTCGGCAGGCTTTCACCTGCTCTGCCAACTCACTACAAAGACAAATTTGAAAAATCCTTTTGTATACCCAAAGTTAAGAACAAAAGGGTTTGTCCAGTTGGACTCATAAGGGGCTTCACAACTATTTGGTAACAGCTCATTGATTCAGTTTAAGAATAGACATCCTCTGGCTCAGCAGTTAACAACACTGGTTTTTCTTGCAGAAGACCCGGGTTCAATTCCCAGTACCCACATGGCCACTAACTGTCCAAAACTCCAGTCCCAGGAGATCCGACAGCCTCTTCTGACCTCTGTGGGTGCACTTACCTACATGCAGGGAATACATGCATACACATAAAAAATAAATAAATAAATAAATATATAGGCGGGCTGGAGCATTGGCTCAGCAGTTAAGAGCACTGACTGCTCTTGCAGAGGACCCAGGTTCAATTCCCAGCACCCACATGGCGGCTATGAACTGTCTTTAACTCCATTTCCAGGGGAATCTGAAGCCCTCTTCTGACCTCCACGGCATTGCATGACA